CGATTTCTAGGACTCTGCTGCTCGTGCTTGTACTTGCAGTGAAAGGTAGCCTAGTTTGCTTGCCTTTACAGCAAACTACACAACTTGATTTGCTCATATCCTACTTTTCCTGGTAAGTTACACCTTCAACTACTCCTTTTTTCATTTTCTCAAGGTCATTTATATTAATATGACCTATTCGTCTGTGCCAAGTGTTACATGAGGTCTGTGTAGCTGCCGCTAACAGCTGCTCTGATTTTTCAATGTTGAATCTGTACACATCATTTTCCAAGCTAGCTTCACTAACACAAATATTCTGAGAATTGTAAATGTAACATCCATCTTTATTGAAGGATACTCTGTTATCATTTGCGATCATTCTGCTCACCGAAGGGAAATTGTGTTGGTATGCACAAAACATTGTTCATTTCTACTTCATGTCTGATTGTTTTCACTCGCGTAGCAAGCCGAAGATCTCCGGAGCACAACACTGGAACTTTCGTATGATTAGCGACAATAATTTATTTTACTTTTGTTTCGTAATATATGTTTGTCAACATGTTCTTGTTTGACACCATGTGAGTACTAGCGCCAGAGTCGACGTACCAGTCTGTTATGTATTCAAAGACCAGATTGCTTCCTGATGATCCTTTATTTTATAATTCCACAGATATTCTTTACATTTTACACTCGACAACCATAACCTACTTCTAGCTACCATACTATACTAATATGTTGACCGAGTTTGTACAAAACACGTTTGTTGAAGTCAGAGAATGTAGATTTTGTATTATGGCAAGGTTTCAAGAGACTGCACCGTGTTCTAGGTCTGGTTTCGAAAATGGCTTCAGCAGAAACAGCTCAGAAAATAATGACTTTTCCAAACCCCTTTCAAACGTTTGCACAGGTAAACCTCAACAGGTAAACCAAATACAGAAAATATGTTTTTTAATTCACATATCGTTTCTAATGCATCTGTACCATTTTTCATTAATCTCCATCTATTTTGTGACTTAGAACGCTACCTACACCATAACTATTAGCATCAGAAGTGACGTATATCGGAAGTTTTGGATTATAATGTGTCAAAACAGTATCAGAGGTTAATAATTTTTTGCTCAGCTCAAAAGCCTCTTGACAAGTTTTTGTCCAACTCTTGGAAAAATGAATATCTTTTTTGCATAGATCATAGAGTGGTTTTAATTTTGACGAGAGCATTGGAATAAATTTTCCATAGTAGTTCAACAATCCAAGATATGCTTTCAGTTCAGTTAGTGACCTTGGTGTTGGTGTTAACTTTTTTGCATTTATTTTATCTTCTGTTGGGTGAATCCCCTCGACATCAATAATGTGACCTAGGAATTCCACATGTTCTACAAAGAACTTGCATTTTTTTTCATTTATCTTAACATTGAATTCCAATAATTTTTTTAGAACATTCCTAACGTTTTCATAACATTCTTGCGAGGTTGGGCCAAAAACTAGTATATCATCAAGTTGGCACTTAGTGTTTTTCAATCCAGCCAATATGCTGTCCATCACTGACTGAAAAATACCCGGTGCTGAACTGACACCGTATGTCAATCTTGTATAAGTGAATAATCCTAAATGTGTGTTGATGACTAAAAGTTCTTGGGCTCTAGGGCTAGCTTTCAAATGTTGATAAGCTCCTTTCAAGTCTATTACAGTGGAACACCTTTGACCAGCTAGACAAGCAAATATATCTTCTGGTAACGGCAAGGTGCAATGGTTACTATCCAAGCGTGGGTTAAGTGTTTTCTAACCTCATTAGAGTTCTTTTTGGGGACAACAACAATTGGACATGCCCAACTGTTTTTCTTTAAATACCAGAATTTACCATTTTTGATAATTCAACTTCTACTTTTTCTTTTAATGCATATGGTAAATCATACGCCCTATGAAATATAGGTTGAGAATTTTCTTTCAATTTCAAATCCACTTTAAACTGCTCGATGGCTCCAATCAACGACATATTCTGGATATTTGTACACCTCCAGACGACAATACTTCAGTTTAAGTACTTTCACAACATGTAGCGTGGCAGCTTGACTATTAATATGTATGCACAATTTTTGAGTGCATCCGACTAGGTTCGCATCTGTTTTCGTCGCCAAATTATATGTTATGTATTCAAAGACCAGACTGCTTCCTGATCCTTTATTTTATAATTCCACAGATATTCTTTACATTTTACACTCGACAACCATAACCTACTTCTAGCTACTATACTATACTAACTATCTCTATCTAAAATCTCTTATGACAACTGACTGGGTTTTTAGGTTCGAATATACACGTTGGAATATCCACTAGCTCGGTTAATACTCTACACAGTCGTTTTGATTGATCTTGAAATATCCACTCTTCTTACAATGGTAGCAACGAATTTGTTTTTTCTGAAATGTATTCACATTACCACTGACAGGTGACGGGAACATTTCGTTTCTGCTACTGCCACTTTTAGTTTGCGGTTGCGCCTGTGGGTGGCGTTTTTGTGCATGTGCAATAAGCGCGCCTTCTGACTCAACCTCAAAATCCGAACTCATATCTAACAATTTAGTTTTTATAGCATTAGCGCTTATCTTCAATCCTGAATGCTCTATTGCCATTATCATGGTACTATATCTATCTGGCAGTCTTGCTAGCAACAACGAGCCGATCCATTCGTCGTTTATTTCGAATCCAGTGCCCTTCAAACGTTGAGTCGTTTCCACAAGCTGGTTATCGTAGCTAGTCATACTGTCACAACTCTCCAAACGTATTGATATAAGGTTTCTTAAGAGAGTAATCTTGCGCGTAAAACAAGAATCGTCAAACAATGACTTCAGTATCGCCCACAGATCTTGGACGGTGACTTCAGTCTTGATGTGGACAAATAACGACGGATCGATAGTCATTACGATCTTTGCCCTCGCCTTCCTATTTTCTGCTTCCGTTAGCTCCGTGGTACTGGTCACATCCACGTCTTCCAGAATCATGAAGTTCTCGGCGGCAAACGCCCAGTCATCGTAATTCTCGCGTCCTTTTAGTTTAGGAACGTTCACTGAGTAGTTACCCGACATTTTAGCACTGATAGATTTGATAGTCTATAAAAACTAATTGCTTTTGGGTACTGGGCCCATAACCTAATAAAACACGGTAATGGTTGACAACAGACTAACTTTTTTATTTTCATAAATAATGAAAGTAGGTACGTACATAAGTTTACACTCATATAAAATAGATGACGTTACTCGGATGATTTTGTTATAAGTTGCAAATTTATTTATAACAGTTATTGTGTGTCCCCCGCCCTGAAGTTTTAGAGTCGTCACTGTGTTCGAAGGTGATTGACAATGTTTCATTATGAATTCCATCAGTTCAGAATTACTTGAATTGAAGGGGTTATATTTTTTAGGAGTTATTAATTTTTGGGAAAGAAAGTTTTTGGCTTTCTACTACTCCATCTTGATACAAAAAAAGAAAGATGAGAGAGTCTTCCAAAGAAAGGAAGGAAGTAACTCTATACATGGATGTGTAGATCATGCAAAGAAGTAACTTTCAGACACAAACTGAAAGAAAGTCCTCCTGAATTACATCGTCTGATATTATATAAAATGATTCCAAATTCCTGAAAGAACTAATAAAAAAGAAAAATTAAAAAAGAATAGCTTAAAATAACAATTATATTCAGCAAATAAACTCTGAAATGAAATAACAGTGAAATGAAATACAAGTAAAAATAGAAAAATGGAAAAAAATTAATTAAAAAATTAAAAGATTCCAGGCCAAGTTACTTCACGATGTTTCGATTGCTAGTATACACAATCGTCTTCGCGTGACGACTCGATTAATGACTATTTATGGGTTAGCGGGAGTTGGCCATTTTTCGCTTGATTATGGTTTTCCATATGTTGCGTCTCTCTACGCTAGCATGGCTGAATATATTGTTGGACAGAATGTATGCGGCTTGTTTGGACATTGGTTTGAGAGCAAATTCAAAGAAGGACACAATATTGACTTTACGAACACAAACACCATTGCCACAGCGAAAACACTACAAGCTCAGATAATTCGCGAGGCCTTCGAAAAAAAAACGACCTTTCGCCTGTACAAATGTGGTGACGGTCAGAGATTTCCAACTACATGGTAACCTCTAATTTTCCGATGCCTACCCCTCACCAAGGCATCCGGTGATGGTAATTAGCCGAAGCCAGATCCCCACATTTCCACTTCAGTAGCTGCCGCCGATATTAATATCACCGAACACTCATCGATTAAAGTCAAAATTTGGAGATTTGAGTCGAAATTTTGAGTTGAAAGGCGTAATGTCGAAATTTCGAGATTGAAGTCGAAATTTTTGAGATCATGGCGACTGTAATGATACTTTTGTCACTCATTTGTGATAACTATCTCTGGATGTTTTCCAAGATATTTTCTGATTGAATCATACAGATTTGTGATGAAGAGTCGTGAACAATGAATTATCAAATTATCGAAGAATCTGAGTTCCACAGGTTATTTTTCTCCCACGATAATCGATTGTGAATCTCTGATTTTTATATACATAGTTATCAATACAGTTTTTTAATTGGAAATGGGATATTTCTTAAGAAAGATTAGGTTTTGAGAAGGAACTTGGCTTTCTACTTCTTCATCATCACATGAAAAACCTGCGATAAAAGGCAGAAAAAAATGTATAGATCATACATAGATAGAAATGGAAAGAAGTGGAATTGATACAATTATCATTTTCAGAAAAGAATATGAAATTTCACTTACATAAAAAACTATCGATTTCTGGGTGTACTTCGAAATTTCGAGCTAAAACGCCATTTTCAACTCTTCATCAGCCCCTTTCTGGGTAATTTTGAAAAAAAGCACTCAGTCCTTGCAGATGATTTATTATGGAAAACTAAAAGAATTTTTTTTAATAAAATATTCTCACTATCGGTGAATGGTACCATGCATTCCCTACCTATTAATTTTCTCTATTGTACTTCACATTTTTCCTTAGATGATTCGAAAGATTCCAAGATAATGTTTCAAGAAAAGGAAATCGAAAAATTGAAACAAACTATAAAAACTCTCGAAGAAGAAAAGAGTATGGAAATCGAAAACTTAAAAAAAATAACAAAAAAACTCAAAGAAGAAGTAGTTAAGGACATGGAAGCATTGAAAAATAGTACGGAAAACCTCAAAGAAGAGAAAGTAATGGAAATGAAAATATTGAAAAATTCCATAAAAATTCTTAAAGAAGAGAAGGGTAAGCAAATCAAAACCTTGAAAAATAACATGAAAACCCTCAAAGAACAGAACGAAAGGGAAATCAAAACATTGAAAAATAATATAAAAACCCTAGAAGGAGAGAAGGACAAGGAAATCGAAACACTGAGAAATGTCATAAAAACTCTCGAAGGAGAAAAGAGTAAGAGTATTAAAATAAAATGTTCTTTTCATCAATTATTGATTATTTTTGATTTCAGATGACATGGTAATGAATGAAAGATCAAATGAGTCTCTATATCAATCTGAAATAGAAAGTTTGAAAGGTGTTATGAAGGAACTTGAAGAAAAAAAAGCAGGTAATGAAACTCTATACTTATTTTCAATTTACAACTCTTGCTGTTTCTAACGATTACCAAGTAATGAAATTTGATTTTGAATTTCTATTTTAGTTGAAAATCTTCAATTGGAATTTTATAAGGAACAAATCCAGATGTTGACACGTGAAAAAGAAACTCGTCAGAAGAATGGTAATCAATATTTGTTTTTAAGATGTTTTTGAGATAAAAGTGACGTTCAATAACTTATTTCTAAATCATTTGAAAATAGATTCGCATTTGAGGAGATCGCGGCAAGAAATAGAGAGATTGAATGATGTCATCAAGAGTCTTGAAGAGACAGAGAAGAAAGGTACCTATTGATCATCTTTTTCCATATTGTTATAGTCGTAAAATTCGCTATATTTTATTTCAGAATCACTAGAACATATATGGCAAATGGAACAATTGAAAGAGACCATAGAATCTTTCGAAAATAAAAAAAGAAAAGGTATTGATGATTTAGTTCACCTCCAAACATGAAATAATTATTCAGATCATTATATTTTATTTCAGAGATATCATCGTATGTGGCGGAAATCGAAAAATTGAAAATATTACTGAAAACGGTCATAGAAAAATTGGAAGAAGGTAACTCTAATAAATATCATTAAAAAAAACTGGAAAACACGCTTTCAAAGAGTTAGAAATATTTTTTTAAATAAGCTTAATACAGTAACGATCGAAAAATACTAGTATTATTGTGAAAAAAACGTAGGCGCTAGGAATACAAAAAATATGGCACAAAGCGCCTACGCTAATACCAATAAATTTCGTAACAAGAAGCATGCTAAAAAGCATTGAATGATATTTCAAAAGGTTAAAAAAATGTAGCATAAGAGATACTTGAACCCATTACTTAAATGAAACATCAACACTCAAGTCTATCGTTCTAACAGCTACTTCACGAAGCAACTTACACATCGAAGTGATCTCAAGTTACTTATGTGATGGAATCTGCCGATACTTGATGAACATCCATAACGTATTCAAGAAACACTTTCTTATGAGATTTTCACTGAACAATTTCACAAAAACGCAATACGTGTTTCGCTATACGATAGCTCCTTCAGGCATATCTTACTCAACAAAAAATAATATAGATACGTCTGAAGGAGCTATCTGCTAACGGAACACATGTTGCGTTTTTGTAAAACTGTTTAGTGGGAATCTCAAAATAGACTGTTTTCAGGATTGAGTTATTCAGGTTCTCCTCAATTCTCATTTCATTATTTAGTGACTAATTTTAAAAATGTTCAATTTTTGCCACATTATAAATTTTTGGTGCGGTACACTCGATTTCACTTCCCAAGATATTTCAGCATAATCTCGTTGATATCAATTACTGATTAAGTTTAATATCTGGAAATATTCGAATATTTCATCAATTTAAGTCTTGATTGGTGTTACTTCTTTGTCATGCCACGTAACATAAAGGGTGTTCATTCAACGCCATCTTAACATCTGAAAGATATAATGAAGGTACTTGATATTGTTATTGTAATCATTGCTACGAACATTGGAAAATAGTAATGACAAATACACTATCGTATTTAAAGATTCAAAGTTTGGGAGGCCCAAGGGAAACAGCACCCTGTGAAACACATATATCGAGAACCCATTAAAATTTGCAAAGAAAGAACGCTAGAATGTTTCAAAGATCTATGCTAGTATGTACGCTGTTTATCTAAAAAATAAGGTGAATTTTCATTATTCTCAAAAAATATTATTCATTAATTTCTATTTTGTCCCCTTCAAAGTAGTCTCCCTCAGCATCTTGGCTCTCTTCTCCTTTTCCAGTGGGACGACTCGACTTTGGTTTCGATGTCATAACGGTATACCCATGATTCGTCAACACTTATGACCCTTTCTAGCAAATCTGTATCGCCGTTGACGTCATTCAACAATTCCTGAGCGATGCTCATGCGACGGATTTTTGGTAAAAATTCAGCAATTTTGGAACGAACTTCACTGCCACACGATTCATATTCCAAATTACCGAAAAAATTTCATGGCACGAGCCAACCGTTATGCCGACAACCTCATCAACTTCTCTAATAGTGATTCGACGATTCTCCATAACAATTTTCTTCACTTTCTCAACATTTCCACCGGTTGTTGATGTGCTGGGGCGTCCAGATCGTGAACGTTTTTCTGGCTTAAAGTACAATCACCGTATGCCACTGTCAACATTTCAAGTACTTAGTTCAATTTTTTTTTGCTTAAAATTTGATGCAAATGCTTTGAACCATTTTTTTTCGATTGCATAAAATCGCCGAACAAGCAAAACACTTCTACCTTTTATGCCTCTCACCAACACACTAAACATGCTAAATAGCTGAAACTGTGAACCTATGTGCGAGACAAGTGTACCAACATGAAAAAAAATTAAAAACGTGAATCTAAACATTACTCTGAGAAATTTGAACATTCACCTTATTTTTTGAACAGTCCATTCTCTATAACGTTGTTTTCCAGATCCCCATGCGTCATCTTAGAGTTCACTAATTACCGGTATAAGTGTATAAAATCTGTCGATCGAGCACAATTCAATAAATTCGTGTGAATTTCATTTCGAGAAAAGCTTCACTTGATCGTATTCAAAATCTTGAGAGCGATTACACATTAATATGCTTTCGTTTACTGCATTTATTATCTTCAAAAATCATGAATTTCTCCAAATTATTTTTAGGTAATAGTAGTCCGAATCCTAAAATTCCACTTTTTCTGTAACTGAATCTATACCTACTTTATTGTCGAAATTTAAAAAAATAATTTTCAGACATCGCTGTTATGAGTACTTTTATAATATCATAATTCAGTAGTGAAACCTAGGAAAATAACCTGGTATTTACTGGCTGATTTCTTGTTTTTTATATTTCCATGTATGAGGAGTGGCTAAAAAGTTAATTTGCTGGTGTTCTGCGAGACAAACAGTCGTTTAACATTCTCCACTACACTTCAACCAGTTTTTAAAGTTATTATCAATCAAATATAGGATATCTGTGTCAGAACATCCACCCTACCCATCAGGTCTAGTTTCGTGTAATTTTTAATAGTTCCAGAAAGTGAAGAAAACACTGTTTCATAGAGTGAAAGCTATGAATTAAACAGCGACCAAGACTATGAACATGCCTTCGAAAAATTACCTAAAGCACTATTTTGAACAGTGGAAAATAAGAATGGACAAGTGTAGGGGAGTATGAGGGAGATAAGGAGTTATAAAAAAATAAAAAGGGTTGCATTGAAGGTACTATTATTTTTAGCCATACCTCGTATGCTCGTATGAAAATTTTGATTTTCTGGAATCGATGTTTCAAAATAATTCTGAATTGTTTTTATTTTTCAAGGTCAAAAAAGTGAATTGGTGGTTATTTCTAGTGACGAACCTGGCCTCGTTTGATTCTTATGAAGAAGACAAAAATCAAAATTTGTGTGTGATTGTATGTTTTCAACTTCAAAATTGTTTTATTATCAATTTTGACAATGTTATGAATATTTATTACAGTATTATATGTGCATTTTATGAAAAAAAATATACAGTTTGAACGGTAAATGTTGAATTTTATTGAAACGTATCTATCCTCCCAGATTTCAGCTCATCATTTTTCACATTATAGTGAATTAATAGAACTCATGGAATTGTTTCCAGTAGTCAATAATATTAATAGTAGAGGAGACCGTAGGAGATCGACCTTCACCCATCAGATAACTTGAGACATATGTTTTGTCAAATATAATTCATTAAAAAACATGCCTAAGTATTATATAACTTGCCTATCGAAAAGTTTACATAGTTATTTTTATTTGAATCAATTTTAATCAATTTTTTTCACCACCTTCGCTCTTTTCATAACCGAATGAATATCATCTCAACTGATATTTTTAACACACTACTCTCATCCCCTTTTTTTTGTATCAGATGGAGTAGTAGAAAGCCAAAAACTTTCTTTCCCAAAAAATTAATCACTCCTAAAAATATAACCCCTTCAATTCAAATAAAATTCCTCTTGGCTGGGATTAAATCAAATAGGTGAATTAATGTCATTACGATGTCATCGATGACATAAGCAGATCAAGCTTATTCCGTGACATTCAAAATCGTAATTCATGAATGAAGTGTGTGTATTTTCTATAATGTTATCCAATTTGGTACTGAAGAGCCTTAGGGCAAGTGTCTTA